ACATAAATCAAATAGATTAAAATAAATCAAAAATAGAGAAAAAACAAACAAATAAATAAATAAACTGTAAGAACGGGGCTGTCTCTAAAATTTTGTCAAAAATTGTATGGTTGTAAGCTATAACATAGTTATAACGTAGGCCTAGGACAACACTCCTGGTTGAGCAATTATGGAAAGAACATCCCACCACACAGCCACAGATGATAGTAGTTCCTAGTTGAGGACAAAAAGGTTTAAGAGCCACTTCTTCTTCAGTGGCACAATTTTTTTTGTTTGTGTTTGCAGTTAAATTAATCGTCTGTAAGCCTTCTGTACATGCCGTATTAAGAATGAACTCATTTCTCAATGAGAGTGCATGGTGTTGAATCTCTGTAGAAATCCTTTGTAAACCATGTTGTATTGTGCAGTTTAGAGTGTGCATTACAGATGCATTACAGCATCGCAGATGGTGTTTCACAGAACCTGTGCGATGTGGGATTAATCAACACTCCAAATTCCCAGCACTGCCAATGTGTGATGTGGAGTATGTGAGCTCACCCTGGAGAGCTGGGTTTTTAGCTCATGCCTAGCCAAGGTAATTTGCTTCTCACCTTGGAGCAGTTTTGGAACGGCGGAGCGACTGTGTTTGTGCCTTCTCTAAATGACTCACTTTTTTGGAATTGTTTCTGTCTGATTCTGAAATTCCATGATTTTTACAACCAGGAGAGTCTGTGCTTGAGCCCCTCGCCTTATAACTATCTACATTACTTTCTTTGGGCAAAACCCATAAATATAAATGTTCTCACCCTCATGTCATTTCAAACCTATAAGACTTTCATTCATCTTCAAAACACAAGTGAAAATTTTGGAAGCTCAACTGTACTTGATGCACGAGAACAAACCTCTTTTTTTTTCTTTTTTTTTTTTTACAATCCCTTTATGAACTTTTTGAAGCGTCAGAATTTTTTTATGTGGAAGATAATTCTTTTTGAAGATAATTGAAAGTCTTCGGGGGTGAGTAAATGATGAAAAAAATTAGGTGAACTAACCCTTTAATTGTTTATCAAATTGATTGATTGATTTATCTGTTTTTCCCTCTCCACTCAAAATCATTCCATGCAGATAGATTTGTTTGTGAATGTCTGCTCGGATTGATCCAAGGGGGAGGTTTGGGTAGATATTAGATGCTTATTGAAAATTTTCCACTGAGTACAGAGAGTCAAGTCAATGGAAAAAAATCCAGTGGAAGGAAAATCGAGGGTCTCTTACTTATGCGTCCACACTGTGTCTGCCAGACCCTTTGTGATGAGCACTCTGTAATATCTTCCATTCTCCGCTCTCCAAAGGCCCTGCTGTTATGATTATTGCCACACTTTTATTGCTAAATATTCTTATTTGCTCCAGCGTCCTCCCACATCTGCGGGGGAGCTGCTCATTACGCAGCTCTGAGTTTCAGTCAGAGCTCACTTGAGATGTAGCTCAACTACCTGTCATTTAAAGCAGCACATAAACACATCAAAGTTCCATCCACGAACACATCTGCTTCTTCTAAAACGGACATCTTGAAATGGCAAAGTTTATAGCTGTTTCATCTCATTCGGTTTTGTTGGAATAGGTACGAATTGATCTTGTCCCAAATGTCACCTTCAGTCCTAAAAAAGACGTTTATTGCTTGCAGCAGAATAGGGGGCACTATTGAGCACCTTTTAATCATATAAGATAAAAAATGTGACAGCCTGTGATTTTGGGGATAGATAAAAAGAAGTGAAGACCACGAGCCAGAACATCGACATCAGTTGTCCCATTTGAGACAACCATTTTTTGCATGTAGATGATGTCCTTGTAACCCTTAGTCATAATCAGTAATCTACAGAAAATTACTGTGTAAATTACAACACCAAATCCACAATTTGGCAACATACTTCATAAAAAGACATATTGAGACTGCATTAGGGTGCTCTGTTGATTACTCTTCGAACCATGAGAAAATGTGACACCCTGTGATCTTGTGGACAGATAAATACAAGTGATGGCCACAATATCGCACATCTATGTTAAATGTCCCATTTGAGATGTCCAAAATGAGGTCTCTGTTATCCATAGTCATACTCAATAATGTACATTACATTACAATGTACAGTAAATTAGTTTTTAAATTACTACATCCAGTCCGCAATTTGGTAACATAGTTTTCAAAGGGGCTTATCAAGTTTGCATTGCAGCTACATAGGGGGCGCTATTGAGCACCTTTTAAGACATAAGTTGAAAATGTGACAGCCTTTGTTCTTATGTATAGGAACACACAATAGAAAGTTAAAAGACCATGCGTTCACATCAAATGTCCATTCTTACCATGGAGATGAGGTCTCCATTACCCTGAGTCATTAGTAATGTACAGTAAATTATTGGGGTCTTAAAAGTCATAAGACATTTCAACAAGATGTTAGATTTTCGGCCATAAACAAAACCTTCTGGACCTGAATGTTGCTCTCAAGAGTAAGAATAAAATGAGATATCAGTGTTTCAGTTGCAAGTAATAATACATAAAGTTTTCATATGCAGATCATTTAAGATTTTCTCTCTCTCACATATTGAGTAACTGCATCAAAGCGAGACTTTTTGTAGCTGTGTTTTGACTGGATATAAGATAATGTCATTCCCAGATTAAGTTTTCACTGTCTGATTGTTTAATTGACTAATCTGTTAAGTGAATAATTCAACACTTCCAAAGAACAAAAAACATCATAAAAGTATCATAATTGTGATCCTTTGATGCAGTAAGCTTTGAACAAACAGGAATTGAAGTTATTTTTATTTGAATGACTGCAAATTGAAGTGTAGCTGATCGGTCAGCCTGACAGATGAAGAGGGTCAGTAATAAAGCTCTGAAGGTGATGAGGCAGTGCTTGTTTGTCAGGTCAGTGTTGAGAGGTAGTTAATCAAACCATGTCTAGAATGGAGTTTGGTTTCGACCCCACTGCAGGCCCTAAATCAGCAGGTTATATTTGGCCCACTGGGCCCCGTCAGAGACTGCAGGCCCAGGTATAGAGCAACAAAACACCAGCTAAACGCCTCCTCAGAATCTGGAAGAGATTTGGGAACATATGAAGTGACAGAACCCAAATCCACGAATCTCTATAGTAGGGAAGTGCAAAAGTATATATTTTCATATTTTCATTTTCACTTACTAGTCATTTTATTAAAAGTAGATTTTATGAACCTTCTTAAAAACACTGGGAAAAAACTGCGACAAACAAAACATGAGCCAGTGGCCAGAGACATTTGTCTGCATGCTTCTAAATAACGCAGGCTCAATCCAAGAAGCCATTCTGCCAAGTATCTGGCAGACATTCAAAATATACATAGTCTGAATATCTGCTAAATATCTGTGTATACTATGAATTAATATTAAAGCTCAAACTAAATAGGAACAATCTGTATAAACTATTCATTCTAATTAATCCATCCATCCATGTTGAACAGCTCTCTATTTCTTGATCATTTCGCTCAATTCACTATCACCATCTTTTCTGAACAAAAGAGCCTGTGTGTGAAAGTTCGAATACCAGTGAGGCCACATATTGTGGCCATCCAAAGAAAAACACGGCTTTCTCAGTCACTGTGTGATTATCAGCGGGGTGGAGACATAAAAAGCACAAACTCTGATAAGAAGTAACAGGCGTCCACAGTGCTGCTGTAGTCATGTTTTTGGCGCTAACATTACTAAAAAAGAACTACAGAATGCAGACGAGGAGGGAATGGAATGGAAAGTTTGGATTAGAGGAATGAGAGGTTTTTCCGAGGGTTTCCACATTGGGGTCAAAACCACACATGGGGTCACCATAAATGCAAATGTAGTCTTAGGGGCATTTCAGTGAACTGTATTTTATTTATGAAATAAATAAAAGCTTTGTCTAGCATGATTTTTATAGCTGTTGTCTACTCGCACATTTGAAATATGCAGCTTTTCTTGTGCTTAAAATATGTTGTGAGATGTAGGCTACAACGCAAGAGCAAATGGGAACTCAGTTTTAGAGTGTCAGTGACAAATAAGAGTGATTAGATATAGAAAAGTAAAAAAAGAAAAATATATTTAATGTTTTAATATGATTTTGAGAAACTTTTTTAATGTTTCATAGTAAAACAAAATCATCAGACATTTTCTAAAAATGTCACATGGTGTAAGAATCAAATAAAAATTAATTCACATTTTCTGTACACCTTAAACGCACACTAAACGTGTATCACAATAGAAAGGACAGTGCCTCTCCTCGATGTGATATTTTATAAGCATTTTATTAGCTTGATTGATTGTGATTTCTTTTTTAAAATTTGTAAATATAGGTAACTTTTTCACATTTTTAATTCTAAATTAGCTTCGTAATTAGAGGTGTGATTCTTATCAGCTGTAAATACATTTGTTTTTACTGTTTTTATTTATTTATTTATTTTTTACCTTTTTTTTTTTTAGTTATAAGGAATGTTAATTTCAAAAGTAAAAACTATTATAATATATTTAAAAATGTCATGAATTATTCATAAATATTAATGTTTCTACTTGTTGATCACATGACTTTTGTTGGTAAGTTTTCAAATTCATTATATATATATATATATATATATATATATAAATAATATACTTTGTAATATACCAAACTTTTCAGAAAGTTTCCCCCCCCAAGAATCTATTCATTTTATTGAGGCTTTTTATGATATCATAGCAGTTGTACCGCCCTGATTTTTTTTACATAAATTATGTTTTCACAGTTGAATATAAGGCTACTGTAATGTATCAATGAATTCCCTTAAACAAATTTAGTCTTTTCTTCTCATGATCAAGAATTTCGTAATATAAAATGCTAAACAAAAAGTCTTTCTAGCAGCTGAAGCTCTGAGGTCTTTATACAGTCCAGAGCCCCATGTGTCCTAGCTGTCTTTAGTGAATGTCCTCATTGTCTTCAGCACTCACTTCCCTTCTCTCTTAGCCGTTCTCATATGACCCCTTTCTTTGCTGTGTTCAGGTGGCGTTACATCTGCGGCCCATCCAGTCTCTGCCTGTGCACCAGAAACCGCTGGTCTTCGTCCTGAACTCCCCTCAGCCAGTCCTCTGGAAGCTTCGGACAGAGAAACTGGCCTCAGGAGTCAAACGCATCTTCCATGTGAGTTCGAGTTGCTTTATGACTCTCAAACCATCTCTCTATCACATCCCTGTCTGTCTCCCCATCCTCCCCAGCACCGCTTCTGAGCCAACTCCATCCTCATTTTCCCTGTAATGAATATTCAGATTCTCATTCATTCCAAATCAACAAGCATCTTTAAACACACAATTCATTTACACTCTCTTTGGCTCGTCTTACCTTCCTCAAACAAACTTCTCCACTCTCCTGTCAGCAGAGGTCTTACTCGCTCAAAGATGCATTCAGGTGTGTGTACCCAGAGGAAATACAAACATGCTCACACACACGTAAACACACCCCTTGCCAACACAACCATCTTTTAGACAGAGGCTTGTGTAATAAATCTGGCACAGGCTCACAGGTTTATATTGACTGCTGTAGTCTGTGGATGTTCACCATGCTGCCTGACGGATGTTTGGTGGCGAGACGGTGCCGAGGTTTATACTCTAGTTGTGGCTTCGCTCTGTTCCCCACTGCTTTACCCATCGCTTTCACCACAGAAACACTTGTTGCTCAGTGGGTGCTCTTTCGTAGTTTAATTCTTAGTAGTTTAGTTCTCAGCTATGCATCAACATGGTGTCAAATGTTTATTCTAAGATAAAATAAAATGGAACAACTGTTGACATGAAGTGAAAGTGTTATTAATGAGTTATTTTATTAAGAGTAATTAATGGGAATAGTATGGCTTAGATTATTTAGTATAAGAAAAATAAGTAATATTCATGTTGAGATTTCTGACTTTGGATTGCATAATTTTGTATCTCTGGAAATGTAAAAGTCTCCTGAGATCTCTATTGAAACTCTAGAGGAGACGTGTGAAATGACCCGGCGCTGTTACTCTGGAAAACAATCTGAGCAGCAGGACAGTCTCATTTATGAAACACAAGCAGAGCAGATTTTTGTAAAACCATCAGCGCAGTTTTGGGGATAGATGTGTACCCTCAATAGCTATGTTTACATGTACACAAATAATCTGTTTATAATCAGATTGAAAAGCCTATATGTAAACACTCCAGATTATCTGTTTGAGCTTGATCTGAATGAAACTTGGTGGTAAACCAGAAATAATCTGAAAATGGCGTAAATCGAAATGAAGTTTTTTATTTTCTCATACATCCATATCCATTATATCTATGCCACTGCATGAGACAGTTTACCTTTTTTTTTTTTTTTACAAAAGATTTACACAGATATTCATACATTTGTTTTATGAATGAGCCCATTGTTATCTAGAAGAAACAACTGAGATATTAAGAGACTGCCTCCTGAGATTTTTATTTTCTGCAAGTGTGCTTTCAAAACATCTAGCCTGGAACATGAAAAGCCTATATGTAAACACTCCAGATGATCTGTTTGAGCTTGATCTGAATGAAACTTGGTGGTAAACCAGAAATAATCTGAAAATGGCGTAAATCGAAATGAAGTTTTTTCTTTTCTCATACATCCATATCCATTATATCTATGCCACTGCATGAGACAGTTTACCTTTTTTTTTTTTTTTACAAAAGATTTACACAGATATTCATACATTTGTTTTATGAATGAGCCCATTGTTATCTAGAAGAAACAACTGAGATATTAAGAGACTGCCTCCTGAGATTTTTATTTTCTGCAAGTGTGCTTTCAAAACATCTAGCCTGGAACATGATCAGAATCCGTATCTACCTATTTTAAATCCAAACCCTTTGTATTCACTGTACTGCAGAGGGCATTCACAATAAGAAAAAAATAAAGATTCTTTCATTTGTTTGTCATGGAGTTTAGGGAGTTGTGGAAACAATTTAGACACCGGTTTGATCAAAGCAATGTTACTCACAAATATATAATAGACCAGTGAGATCAGCGACTAAGACTGTCCCTGACAACATTATTGTTTTCCAGCCATCCTGTGAAACAGCGCAGAGTTACTTCACTCCTCTTTACCCTAAAATAACAAGATGACAAGATCCAGGGCGTTCCTCACTGCACTGAGGGAGCTCAGAGGAGAGCTGGAAGGCGGTTTAAGTAAAGAGAGCCATCCCTTGAACAGCCGACGGATATTTAGTCAGGAGAGCACTGGGCTTAATGAGAAAATGAAAGTGGGCTGCTCAGGATCTCTGATCATAAGCATCGCTATCTGGGATGGTAAATTCATTTTTTACCCACCAGCCAATTGAGCCAAATGCAACATTTTATTAGATAGTTTTTGTTGCAATACTGAATAACATAGCTGTGAAATTGGAGAAAAAGCATTACATCTTTGTAGATGACTTCGCTCTGTGTTTTTGTCGTTTTCTTCATAATCCTCTCTGAAATAACTTAACTTAGATAAAAAAGGAAACTGAAGTAAAAAAAAAAAAAAAAATTAAACAAAACTTGGTCTTGAAAGTGGAGTCACACCTTTAAAAAATAAAAATAAAAAAAACACTTTTGTGTTTCAACAGCCTCATAGTTATTGTTTATGCTGCTTCTTTTGGAAAATGCTACTACTACTACTACTACTACTACTACTACTAATAATAATAATACCAAAATAAAATTAGGTAATAATGCAAATATAGCTTAACTTTTCTCAGTAAATAAAAGGATTTTTTTAAAGCATTTTCTTCTCTTATCCAGGGTTATTTGAATATTATTTATAAACTGTTGTAGCATTTATTTATATTTTGAATTGGCTGTTATTTTTATGTTTTTATTTTATTATTTTTATATTTATTTATATTAAGCCTTAATAAATTTTTTATTTCATGGTTTTTCTTTCTTTCTTTTTTTGTTGTTGTAATTTTAGTATTTTTATTTAGTTGCTAAGGAGACATTTCTAATTTCTGTTTAACTTTTTTGCATACAATTTTTTTTATCTAATATTTTTATACTTTTTCCAGCTTTATTTTAATTAATGAAAACAATTTGTAAAATATTTTGTTGTAGCTAACAATAACAACACTGCTCCTAGTATCTGTAGTATCAGCTACCTGCAACCAATTAAGTTTTGCCAGCTTTTTTTCTGTTTTTGTTAGATCAGTGTGTTACCCGTACTGCTGTCAATTATTGTTGGTCGGCACTCATTTACTGGCTTGTGAAATGTCTGAGAAGTGACATATTGTAAATTGGTGGTTGTCACATTGGTCTGCGTCTGTCGGTACAGTATGAATTAGCCATAACAAGCAAAAATAGGCATTTTTGCGTTCTTTTACATGGACCTGCGATTCATTTGAATCCCATATAATACAAATTTCTGCAAACTCTGCACATCATTGTTACTAAATGAGAACTTTTTGTAAAGGCCAATCCGAGACAGGTCGCCCGCAACCATGACTGTTAAATAAATTATGCATCAAAACACCAAACCCACATTTGGCTGGTAATGGGTGTTAATTTCCCACCCTGTCCCTATCACATGAGAAAATCACAGTGCAGCGAGAGCAAGAGGCCTCACTGGTTTAACTATCACACTCTTCCTGCCGTGTATACACTGTAAATACCTTTATGTAGCTAGCGGTTCTATGCAATAATCATTTTCAAATGTGTTTTAAAACCGTAGCATTCCAGAGGAATGTAGTGCCGAGAGCCAATATTATTTCCATCTGTGTGGACAAGTTCTGCTCTCCTGCTTATGTTGTGAATGTGGATGTAAAGTGACTCCGCATACGCAAATCAAATGCATGCTTTCTTTGTCTATGTAAGGAACTTTCTTAAACATGCATACTGACAAACTTATGAATGTCTTCATAAGCCCTTTAGTGGCCACAGAAGGTTGTCCAACTGTACTACACCCTAAATTCTCTTTGTGTGAGTCAGTCCACTTTGGCCATGTTAGATTCGATCTTTCCTCCAAAATTCAAATCGCTTGTCGCATTCATCACCTGGGTGTGGGAAGGGTATTATTTATTCTATAAAACTGCCCATCAACATATTTCAGTCTTGTTGCATGGCAAAAACTGAGCACAGAATGAAACCAAACCACAGTAAACCACGTTTTTTTTTGGTTTGTAACCAATGCTCAGGTTTCAGATACTGCTGAGATTATGGATGAGAAAAATGTAATATTATGCTAGACCGCAAATTGAGTTATTTCTTGTAGAGACAGGATGTATTCTTATGTCGGCTTCATATAATTTCAGGCAGACGACTATGGGCAAAATATATTTCAGAGGAGAACGTGCTGAGGTCATCCTTTGACGTTTATTAGCAAGGCAACACTCTTGTAAATGTCTAGTTTTGTATGTAGTGCTATTAAAGATCATATTTATGCTTTTGGCAGAGCCCAGGGCAACTTATGAGAAAAGATGGAGATTGTGTTTGCAACAGATACTTCAGCAGGTAGCTGTGGTTTGGCCAAGACAAATCCTCAAAGCGCTCATAACAAATATGATTGACTTATTAAATGCAAGCTGAGTGACTAAAATGTTACAGATATGTCTGCCTTCTTTGATACTGTCTAGATCAGTTTCACGTTTCAATTACAAAAGATATGTCAATTATAAATGTCAACCCTCTACATGGTGATTAAATCACTCTCGTTAGCCATTGGCTAATAAACTGTTAGATTTCACTTGCCATTGATTGAGGCTAAGAATAAGGTAAATTCCAGTGTGTAGTGCACTGTGTTTCTCTCAAACACACACAAAGAGAGAGAAAGCAAGAAAATCTTACATACCACATAGAATTGACATGCTACATGTTAAAGATATTCTTTTTTTGTGGGTTTTTTTCAGTTTGTAATTATTTTGCCATTAGAAACAAACAGAAGCCCAGCTGGTTCCTACAGTAGTGGGCATAAATAATTCTCAGTTTGCCAAGCAACAGTAGTGTAAATAGCGTTTATTGCTATTTGTACTTAGCAAAAACAGCCTCTGTCTAAAAATGGCATACAAATTTAGCAACATGCTAACATCAAACTATTGTTAACTGTAAACATTAAAGGGTTCACCTTCGTGTCGTTCCAATCCCATAAGACCTTTGTTCATCTTTTTAACACAAATTAAGATATTTTTGATGAAATC